CGCCACGCCAGCAGCGTCGCCTTCCACTCTATCACCGCCGCCGAGCCGGCGCGCTGAGAACCCAGGCTGGCCAAGCTGTGGGAGCCCAGCCTGCCGACCCGCGCACGGCTCTGAGGCGCCGCACAGCTGGCCCGCATCCCATGTCCTCCTGGGGCCTGCAGGGAGGCCGCCCTCCCCCGAGTCACTGCTCAAACTCCCGCCCCTGCCCCCCCAGCCCTCGGCCTGCGGGAGCTCTTACCTCGAGACGAGGACTTTCCAAGCACCTGCCCATGTCCACTACTGGAGCCCGCTCGCCACTGCCTGGCCTCTGGCACAGGCCAGCTTCCGGAGGCCGGGCCTGTGCTCACCACTGAGCCCCCAACACCCGGGACAGCGTCCTCCCTGGATGGACGTCACATGTGCAGCCGCGCGGGTGACGTCTGCCAGGACTTCTGTGCTGAGCGAGAACCCAGAAGCCCCGACAGCACACACGCGTGGCCGCCAGCCTGTGCCTGGGGTGTCAAACGGAGGAGCCCCCTCCCCCCACCCGCAGACAACCGTGGGTGTGGGAAGCAAGCTGCAGGTCCAATGCATGTCCTGAATCACAAGAAAACAAGAGGAAAATCACAGGCCCCCTGGAAAACAGGCCCTGACTGTCGAGCCCTGGTGCTTCTCCGCGCATGGAGGCCGGGGCTCCAGACCCACTGTCTCTCCTGCCCCTCAGGTCACCAGGAGGCCGTCTTCGCCCTTTGCTGCCTTTGGGGAAAAAGGTGCGGGTGATCACAGAACGAGGGGTCCGGCTGAGGACAGCCTGGCCCCAGGCCCGCGAGCAGTTTCTAGGAGCTTGGCGGAGGGAAGCACATCCTCTGGTCACTGCCTTCGCCTGGGTCTTAAATACAGCAGCAGGAGACGAGCAAGATTTTACTGAGAAAGAGTGAGTTTTTAATTAACTTGTGAATCTACTTAGAAAAACACACACAAGCAATGTTCACAACTGTAAATGTAAACCTTTTGCACTAAAAAAAAAAAAAAAAAAAAACCACGAAACAAACACAAAACCACAGGCATGAACTGTAAACCTGTATCATTACCAACTAGCTTCAGGTTAATTCTTAGTAGCAATTCAAAACTCTCCTCCTTGGCAACTTTGTTTAGCACCAATGACCCCCTCGGAGGGACTTGTGGCAACTCCAGCGGCCAGTGCCAGGAGCCGGGGGCACTGCTCACACGCAGCCCACTCGCACACCACGCACACGGAGGAGGGCGTGCCGCCGCACGCCCACGGTCAGGGCAATGGAGAGACGACAGCGGGGCACGGTCACACGCTTTAATGTAGTGCATTCGTGGAAAGAAGGCCAGCGCGCGCCCCCGGCGAGCTCCCGTCCTGTTTAATATCATGATTTAGAAGATGCAGACGCTATTGCCTAAGTATTACTCTATACACGTCCACCAGCGTTCAGGGAACACTTGAAACCGCTACGTGACTTACACCGGAAGTACTGGGCTACAGCTTGAGCTCATTGGCGATTTTGGAAGCGATATTTTTGAAAGCTATGGACGTCCCCGATATCCGCTTAAACCGGACCCCGTTCAGAGACAGTCTCGGCAGCTTGCACACCTCCATCTCCCACTGCACCAGGGTCTCGGCGCGCCCGTCGCCATGCACGCAGAAGAGCAGGAAGCGCTCCCTCTGCTCGTAGTCGCAGTTGTTGGCGTCCAGCACCTTACGGATTTCCCGCATCATGTCGCTGGGGTCCATGGAGCTCGTGGTTTTCATGCTCCAGGTGAAGCGCAGGGACCGGGGTTTCGCCTCTTTGTTGTCGTCCTTTTGCTCGGCGGAGACGCTGCGACTGAAAGGCACAGTGCGGGTCACCGTCAGTCCACAGGGAGCTGCCCGCCCCCCCTCCCCAGCTCCTGCCCCTTACGAAGCAGCAGTGGCCTGCCCCGCGCCCCACCACGAGCCACCCCTGCGGGAGACCTACCGGGCTGAGGAATCCTCACCAGCCACCTATGCACTCGCTAAAGCTAACAAGACCGTGTGTGCCGCAGAATCGCTGAAGGCGAGACTGGAAGGCGGCGAGTTTTCCCGAGCCCGGTGCCCCGCTGCGGGCGGACTACAGGCCGGGCAGGCGTCCGCTCGGCTGCTGCTTCTGCGCGCACACTCTGATCCAAGCCGCCATAACCTCCAGTGCGATGTCACTCAGGTAACCACCAAGGAGTCCACAGACAGGGCCGAGAAACTCTCCCTGCAAATGGCCCCTGGTGCTGGGCACGCACGGACAGACAACGGACAAGCCATGCTCTCTGTCGCCGCTTTTCCTGTGCCCTATTCCTGTTATTTACACTTCCAGTCTCACGTGCAAGAACTGCTGAGCCTCCCTGGCGGGGCAAGGGTCAGTCTCAGCGCCATCTTGCTATCGCAGCCTCTGCAGCACGATTTCGGTCTCCCTCTGCTCCCCTCAGCAGTGGATCTCAATGGATCCACCTGTTCTGCTCCCCACTGTCTCTGGGGAGTCCTCTCACCCCCCTGCACCTCTGGCATGCACCCCAGCTCTTTGTATAAGTAAATAAAAACAAATCTTTATAAGAAAAACTATTACGTGACATTGTCTTATCTGAAACAGAAACACAAACATCAAGGCATACCTGCTGCTAAGCACAGGAAAGGCCAGTTGGATGGCAAATGTGAGGCCTCGCTCAGTGCAAAGTGGGGTCCAACGCCCACCGGGTGGTGGAGAGTGGGGTGCAGCATGGTCCTCTCAGAACTCCAGGAACAGGCTCCTGGAGCTTACCGTTTTTTGACATTTAATCATTCTTGCCAAATATCGGTGTTTGTGTTCCTCCGCGTGTCTGGAGGCTCTAACGGAGATGCCAAACTTCCTCACACTCCCGCACCCTCAGAGCGTCAGCGCACGCACGGCAGAGGCGCCTGCTCCAGTGGCTGACCTATCAGCGCTGCGGCTGGATCGCAGGCTACTCCACACACAGCTCGCCCCGCGGCCATGCCCACAGGACATTCGATTCACATCCACCAAGACTGCCAGATGCTTCTAGGCACCGAGCTGCTGAAAACCAGCAGAGAGCTCAAACCAAGCTGGACCGGGAGGGCACAGCAGTGCCACAGGAAAAGCATGGGGGGGCGTCCCCACAGAGGCCCATGAGAGTGGGGTCTGCTGGATGGGGGTGACAGGACAAGGCAGGGCAGGGGGATGAAGGAATGGCTTCCCGGAGGGCTGGCCTCTGATGGAGTGGGGGAGTTGAGAAGAGGGATTACTGGCAGCAAAGGAGCTATGGAGGCTGAGAATGTGCTCGCACAGTTCAGCGCACGGATGGACTGGGCGCCCGGGGCAGCCCCCGTGACAGCCATTGGCGTCTCTGTCACTTACCTGGCGTGCCTGTGCTCACACCAGGAGGCGGGCCCAATTGTTCCTTCCTGTGGCTAAGAGTCTGTTCAAGACTAGGTGGGAGGCCCGGGGGAGAGGCGGCGCTGCCTGGCCTCACCCCTATGCCCTACCTCAACCAGCTGTGTGGCGAGTGGAGAGGGAGAGGCAGGGGCAGCGGAAGCTACCCAAGGGCCCTCAGCAGGCCTTCACTGAGGAAGCCATTCGGTCAGAGCTGTGCTTTGGGAGAGAACAAGAGAGCCACACCTCATGCAGCCTGGCGGCAGCGACCAAACAAGACGTGAGGGGCTGAGCCACGGAGAGCCCCTGCGCTACCTGACAAGAGCCCTAGGCCCGCGCGGGTCCTAGACAACATTGAACGCCAACGCAGCTGACCACACATGCGCCTCTCTCCAGAGAAAACTCACGCGGAACTTAAAGTAGCAACATTCCACTCAAAGTTCCCTCACCGCCGGGCCCAGCCCGGGCCGGGAGTCAGCCGGCGCCCGACCTCGCGCGGGTCCCCTGGCCGGGGCAGCTGCGGGCCCCCAAGCGCCTCCCGCCGGCGCCCGCCCCCAGCCCGCGCGGCCAACACCCCCCGCCCCCCACATCGTAAATAAAAGTCGTCCCCTCACCTGGAGCCCTCATATCTCCCGTTCCTCTCATATTCAGGTGGAAGCCTCCACGGACAGAAGGCGGGGCGGGGCGGGGGAAGAGAGAAAAGACGTCTTAGCGCGGAGCACGCCAAGGCCCGTGCCGAGGCCAGCCTGGGGGGGCGGGGGCGGGGGCAGCGCGGCCCCCTCCTGCGCCCCGCGCCGGCCCCCACGCCCTGCGCGCCCCACTCCTGCGCGCGGCGGGCTGAGCGCGAGGAAAAGCATCCCGCCGGCTGACCCTCACACCCAGCGACAGCATGTCCTGCGCCAGGTGCCAGCTGCCAACAGGGCCGGTCAGTCAGGAAATGACCACGGAGAGGAAATGACCGGGGAGGGAGACCGGCCAGCGGGGGGGCCTGGCCCGAGCGCGCGTCCCGGAGAGCCCGGTCACAGCGCTCCCCGCAGCAAGGACGGCCCGGCCGGGCCCGGCCTCCCGGGCGCGGGCGGGGCTCCGCTCTCCCGGCATGGCCCGCCGCAGGCCGCGGTCTCCGCCTCCGTGTCCGAGGACGCGGCCTCACGCGCGGCGGCAGCAGCAGGTCCGCGGCGGCCCCGGCCCTGGCAGCGCCTGCGCCCCATCCTCGGCGGAGGGGACACAGCGCCACTTACCTGGGCGCCGGCGGCCGAGCCGGGGCGCCGAGTCCCCCGCGCGGCAGGCCGAGGCTATTAGTAGGGAGACCCGGCGCGCAGCCAGGCACGGCCAGAGGAGAGCCCCGAGCATGCGCAGGCCGCGTGACAGGGCGCAGCCCCTTCAAAGCACCTGACAGGGTTAATCTTTTTCTTTTCCACAATTTCCTTTGAAAGAATTAAGTATTTAGTTCTCAGCAGAAAGTTTAGTTTTTAAGGGGAAAGAAACAAAAACGGGGCTACCAAGCCAAACCTGATGTTAATTGCAGGAGCCATTTGGGGGTGAGGATGGAAAAAAAAATGTGCATATATAATAGTCCTACCTTTTGATAAACCTGAATGACATGTTTCTAAAAGAAATTAAGCCAAAAAAAAAAAAATTAACAAAAATGACTCACACAAATCAAGTAGAAAATTAGTCAATTATAGAGGGCAAAAAACACTGCTTCTCTTTTGTCCAAGGAACAATGAAAGTGATATAAAAATGAAAAAGTTATTACAGATAATTGGGTATTTGATCTTTTAAGTAGAAATTAGTATTTTAATTAGAAATATAAAGAATTGTAAAAAAGCAGAAAATATTGACTTAACTGAATTTAAAATAAAATTTAACATCTTGTATAAAGAAGTCACTTGCAATGTACTAGTAATAAAATACTACTTTTCAAATTTCCTGTAGAATACTTACGAACAAAAAGTCACCTTTTATAAACGTTAAAAATTTCATTATACTTAGCCATTAAGAGAATCTTTCATTTCAGAAAGATGATTTAAACATGAACAGGATGTGTTTCAGTTAATAATGTAATGTATGATATAATTTACATTTTAAGAAAAAAGTTATCAGGGTTAAAATGCAGTAGGCTTCTCAGAGTTTTAGATCTCACAATAAATGAAAATTAAATGCCAAGCTAACAGTGGGGGGTTTATTTTTGTGTTTTATGTAATGAATGGAAGCGTTCTACTGAAATGGAGGAGGTGCTCGGTCGGGCTGCAGGGAACAGAATCTGGGAGGACTGTCCAGCTGCGATGCAGTGGCCACATGGGTCACCACTCCTGGGCGCATGGGGACTGGGGCCAGCCGAGGCACTCGTGGGGTCTGCTGAGTGACTGGCTCCCTTGGGTTTTTTCTAATCTGGCACCACTTTGGCACTGCTTCAGATACGGGCCCATCCAGAACCTGCCAACCCCTTATCATCAGGTCAACAGCAGAGCCACACACAACAGAGATCACACAAGTGGAAACCTTTTGAAAATAATTACATACTACACAGATCTCTGGCAGTATTAGTCCAAAGATTATTTTAGTTGAAAATTAATTAAAATGTCTTTAAAGTCTAGCTCCACCTCCCAGTGTCCACCCACGAAGAGCCAGGGTGGCCGGCCAACTACGGTACACTTGAATGTCCCCCGGAGCTCCGGGGCCTGGAGAGCGGGTCATTGCAGGGCTGAGGCCTTGTTGCCTTGCGCTCTGCCTGGAGCTGGTGGACAAACTGGAGGGGCGCAGAGCACCTGTACCTGTGGCTGGGCAGCTGTGCCTGTGATGGTCAGGCGGCTCGGAGCGCCCGAGAGTCAGGCCAGGCCTCAGGAGGGGAATGCCTCATCTCCCCTACCAGCAAAGGCCCCAAAAGGCACCTTCTCCAGAGCTAAGGGACATGTTGGTGAGGCAGCGAGGCACCCCTTCTCCCACCCGTCTCAGCGAGGGCACCTGAGCCCTCCAGGCACTAGGTCTGTGACCCCAGCGACTGGTCAGGGGAGCACATGAAGCTAAGCTTGGGCAGAATAGTTGCTTTTCAGAAAACGGTTACCCTAAACATTCGTAGACTACAGAGCTCAGTTTGCAGATTTTATCCTTCTACAAATGTTTGGGGATAGAAATTACAAATAAGATGACCCTTCAAGACCTCCAATTTCAATTTCAATACATGAAAGGAAATAAACTTAACTTGAAAACTAGCGGGAAGGACTCCTGCCTATGAAGAGGCGGTTCCTGTGCTCCCTGCAATGCAGAGGCAGCCGGGTTCAGCGTGTTTTGCTGTAGTATCATTGCCAAGTTTCGCCTATAAAACTGGGATAGTGTCTACTCCATAGGGCAGAGATTAAATGAGTGTGGAGAGAATGTGTGTGTAAATCCACACGTTGCTATGATCTCGACACCCGTCTCAGCAGAGTAGGGGCCCGATGAACGGCAGCTGAGCCAACAGTGTTAAATGACCAAGCGAAAATAACACAAAGGTAACAAATCATTCAAGGATTTAATGATGTGCAATTTTTTTTTATTAAAGAGCCTGGTACAGGATCACATGTGAGGAACCAGAGCTCACTGTCCTTAAACTACTAGCGCTGAGACAGCCTGGCTGTTCACATGTGCTTCTGTGCGGGGGCTCAGAGGGCAAACGCCTCTGCTGATCTGAAGCAGGGTCGTGAGAGCCACGAGGGCCAGGTGTATCTGGCTCCATTTCCTACCACTCAAATGCCAGAGGCAGGTCCCAGCCAGCTGAGCCTAGTTCTGGGTTGGAGGCCAGGAGGCCTGGCATGGGTCATGGGATGACCCTGCAAGGAAGGGAAAAATCCTTCTGACAGCCACCAGACATCCTTAGGCCTTCTCTCTCACTGGTCATGACTGGGGTGCCTCAAACCTAGCAAGGCACTTGAGACCATTCTGCTCTCGTGCCTGGTCTGGGATGGGGAACCCAGCACAGGGGCTAAGAGAATAAAAAGGTAGAGTGGAATTTTCTGACTCCTCTGGCCTCTGGTTGACGCCAATAGACAGTAGAAGACCTCCCGATCTGTGATTTGATGGTCTAACAACAAGCAGAGCAGATCGTCTGGTGAAAAGACAGTTTTCTGTGACTCTTCTGAGTGTTAGATGACTGCTCTCAAATAACACAATTACTGGGGGAAACTAAGGAGACGGAAGTGCTATTTCACTCACAGGTTAAAGAAGGAAACGGCAGGACAGAGCGGTTGGCTGATGGCCCAGGGAGTATAGAGAACCGAGGACACGACCACCACGCACCCCGAGATACAGGAGCCGTGGAGCAGGCGGGCTGCAGGACACCCACAGCAGGCTGGCCCACAGAGGCTTGGCTGCAGAGCAACCCCCTGGTGTCCTGGCACCATGGGGCTCTCTGGCGTCTCTGGGGTGGTCCTGGCTAAAGAGCTGTGTGCTACAATGCAAAGCAGTATCTTTTCTTTTTTTCGCCTATAGCAGCCAAAGTTTCTAGGTTTTTGTACCCTCCTGAGTAGATATAAAATATTTGAGGAGTCCTTTAGCATTTTCCCAAGGTCCAAAATGACATCTCACTGGACACATGAATGATTTTATACATGAGATAGTAACCCTCGCTGTAAAAAACCCAGGGATTTTATCGCCAAAACTACACACCTAAGAGAGTCACTTTTTCTTAGCATAATTTACTGAGTCCAAAACTGAGTTTCAAGATTTGGACTCTAAGAAAGGTAGTGCTCCTCAGAAAACGGAGAGGAATGAGGGAAAAGCAGTGCCTGTCTCCTGTGTCTAGGAATGGTGCCTCCAACACATGCTGTCTTCCCCAGCAACTGCCTGTGGAGCGCGCCCAGCGCTGCCCACGTTGGGACTGGGGGTTCCGCTGAGCTGCGATGAACGTGTCGTGTGGGGAGATGTTGGCTCCACAGAGCAGGGTAACAGAGCCACTGCTACCGGACTCCTGGCTCTGTGGAGACTCTGGACTCTCTAATTCCTATTCTTACAGGGTGAAGGCAGAAAGGCAGCTCTTTATATAAACCAGAAAAATAGGAGCTACGGACACAGCGAGTGGCGTCGCGCCGCAGTTTCACACAAAGGAGGGAAGGTCTCCTTTCGCCCATATCAGCACCAACCCCAGCGCCACCTGGCACTTACCTCCTTGTGAGTTTTGAAGTTAATTTACTAAAAAGGTTAGTGGAGCCTCGGCTTCGCGCTTGGGACAGCGGCGTGGCCTCGTGGGACAGGCTGGGCGAGGCGGGTGGGCCGTTGTAGGTGGCGGTGCGCCGCTCCCGGGGCTGGCCGTGGAAGGTGCTGCGGCTGGCGGTGCCTCGAGGGAAGCGGATGCGGTCCGGGGTGGCGGCGCTGCTAATACTGTGCGTGGAAGCCACGGGGGTTCTCTGGTCAGGAGCAGTGCTGTGGAGCGGCAAAGAACAGGGTCTCGCAGCCTTGTTCACAAAAGCCTGATCTTGTGGCAAACACTGCACACAAAAATTTACGACCACGATATACCTTTTATATACAGCAGGGAGAATCAGTTATAATAAATCCAGATCCAAGGGGTACTTTACAGGACTCAGGAGTGAAAGGGAAGTGGGGAAAGAATCCAAGGCGCGGCACGGGGTGGAAACCAAGGCTGGCAGAGCGGGGGGACCAGGACACACAGCGTTTCAAGGACAAGACCAGTGCAGGGGATACCAGGACAAAGAGGGGCTCCCTTCAGCTTTTCCCTCTGCCCCCTCTCCAAGCGCGCACATGCGGAGGATCTGCCTGCACAGGGGAGGACACAGGCGATGCGGGCAAAACTGACGCAGAGGCAAGTCAGAAGGCGCCAGAGCACACACTGTGTTGTAAAATGCCACATGCCAAAGGCAACTGGGAGAGGACGGGGCTGGATTTCTTGCACCCACACAGTCTACAGACACAAAGACACACGAGTGGCCGAGGACACCACGTGACAGGACGGCGCTCGCCTAAGACCACACAGAGGAAGGACACTCTGGACAGCTGCAACCAAGCCCGGACCACGAGATCCACAGCACACAGGAGGCGGCAGTGGGCACACATGAGCGTCACAGGAATGTGTGTTTCTCTTACATAGCCTTGAAGTTATCTCCTTCACTGTCTAGTGGAGGTAACATCATCCTGGGGTGCCCAGAGGCTGACATGGACATCGACTTCTGATGTCTCAGCCGACAGGTGGAAGAGGCGGAACAAACTGAGGCAGGGCTAGCTGCGTAAGCGAACACTTCTGTCAGGCTGGGAGGGGTTTGGGTTCAGGCAGAGGCAGAAACGACAGTATGACGGGCCGGTGACTAAGAGAGCAACCTACCGTCCTCCCCAAACCATCTCAACTTCGTCAAGAGCAAAAACCTCAAACTTGTTTTGACGATTTTGAAGCAGCTGCTTTACCGCCCAATAGTAACTTTAGAAGTTTATTCCCTTAGAGAAAAACACCACCTTACATGTCTGAGTATTTGTTTATGTGGGAGGGATAATCCCTTCTGAGTCACATAAAATAAAACCTACCCTAGGAGAGCGACTGCCACCCAATCGGAGTGGCGATGTGGCCTACCTCAAGGGGTGGCCGGCGCCCCCAGCACACACAGGCGTATCTTGCACGACTGGGGAGATAGCAATACAGTAACTAGTCATCTTAATGGTTTTAATAATGAGTTGTTCCAATATAGAAGAGTATCTTGTTACACAAGACACTCACTTTATTAAAGAATGGATGAGATTTCTAAGGGGCAGCAGAGTCCCCTTTGCAGACTGCAGATTCACCTGGGACGGGTGGGGCTGAGACAGACTGCCCAAGAGAGTCTCTGCCCAAGCACACTATTTAAGTCATGCTCCGCCAAGGCGCCCTTGAGATTCCATAGGAGCAGACTCCTCCTTCAAGACTGCAGGGCATTCCGCGTTCTGATGGAACTTTCCACATTTTTCTGCAGAAATGTTGTCAAAGTCGGAAACCAAGAAACCATCAGGTTCTTTCCCCCCGGCCCCTGTCCAGAATGGCATGCCAGCCCGGCCGTCTGCACTCTGTCCCCAGGGTCTCAGTGCAGCACCCCTCAGCACCTGCCCCCCAAACCCAAACACGCCCCCCCCCACTCGTCTTCTGCCTTCATCTGCTCGCCTTTGACTACACACAGCTGTGCGGTTCCTAAGACAGAAACCTGACTGGCAGCTCATCTGCTTGTAACTTTTCAAAAGCAGAGTCTTCGGGATGAAGTTCAGACTCTGGACCTGCCAGTGGCATTACGGCCTTAGACCCACACCACCTCTCCCGGCTTCACTTCCCATTGCTCCCTTCTGGAAGCTGAGCTGCTGGCCGGCCTGACCACTGGCAATCAGCGCCCTGGTTAGTCAGCAAGTGAGAGGTCCTTTGCAGGAGCTCCTTCCTGTGCCCGGAAAGCTGGCGTGTTTCCATTTTCAAATTGAACCCGGAGGCCCTCCCCACCACCAAGGTCTCCCGGATGACCTTTGGTCTGCCCGCATTGTTTCCTGTGTGATCCACTCATGCCCCTGCACGCCACTGGCCATCACAGAGGCCCTCCCTGTGTGAGCACTTCGAAAGCAGCGCCTGAAAGCCCATCATGCGGCTCCCACAGCCAGCAGAACGCCTCAGCCAGGACAGGGCTCCAGCGCCGCTCTCCTGACGGCACACCACGGGAGCTCGGATCCTGGCGAAGGGAGGGAGACAGGTCGTTATGATGACCTGCTCAGGTGATCTGCTGTCCCTGGCTTTTTAAGAGTCCCTCCCTCTGACTTGGGAGAGTGTTTCCAAGTCAGCAAAAAATGACCCTCCTAAAACACTTTTCTAAAAAGCATTAAACTTTTTGACACACTCATCTCTTTTTTTTTTTTTACAAAAATATTTTTATTTTTTTGTGTAGAAATGGAGTGAAGGCCAGAGGTGCGGGGCTGGAGGGGTAAGAGGATTCCCCAGTGAGAGAGTGGAAAGCAGAGCAGGGGGATCCACTGAAACCCACTGGTGAGTGGAGCAGTGGGAGATAGCAGGGGTCTCCTGTGCCCAGTGGGGCAGCTCCCTGGCTGGGGATCGCACTCAGGCTGTGGCGGTGACAGCCTGAGGCTTGACCCCTAGGTGACCAGGGAGGCCCTGATATACTAATCTTAAAGACAATTTAAATGGCTTGTTTCTTTAGAAATTTAATCACATCATATCATGAGTTCTACAAAGCATGCAACTTATTTATTTACACAAGCACTGGGTACAGAAGCACAGGAGGGTGAGAGAATTCACTAGAGCCAGAGCGGGGAACAGAACAGGCAGACCGACCTAAATACACTGCTGAGGTGAGCAGCAGGCAAGACAGGGGAGGTCTGCTGCGCCATGTGGGTTGCTCCCTGGCTGGCCGGGGAGGGGAATGAACTTGTGCTGCAGAGACTGTGGAGTGCTTTACAGTGAGGTGCTTAACCCTGTGCGCCACCAGGGAGGCCCCTGAACATTTTGATAGGAAGTGTTCTGGTTGGTTCCTGACTTAAAAGTGTATTTAGGGCCTCCCTGGTGGCTCAAGGGGTTGAGATGCAACCAATGAAGCTATTCTCGGCCACTGCAGCACCAGTGAGCTACCCATATGGCGCAGTAGACCTCTCCTGACTCACCTGCTTCTCCCCTCGGCAGTGTTTCTGTCAATCCACCTGTTCTGCTCTCCACTCTGTCTCTGGTGAATCCTCTCACCTCCCACACCTCTGGCCTGTACCCCAGTTCTTGTATGCATAAATAAATAAATCTTTTTTTTTTTTTTTTAAGTTTTTTTTTTTTTTGGCATGTTTTATTTATTTATTTGTTTGTTTGTTTTGTTTATACATGCACTGGGTACAGTCAGAAGCACGGGAGGGTGAGAGAATTCATCAGAGCGGGGAGCAGAACAGGCAGAAGGACCGAAGTACACTGCTGAGGGGAGCAGCGGGCAGCAGGAGAGGTCTGCGCGCCATGTGGGACCCTCCTCCAGTGGCCGGGGAGCAGCCGGGGATCGAACCGGCGCCGCAGAGGCCGCGGGCAGCTTCGCAACCCAGCGCTCAACCGCTGCGCCACCGGGGAGGCCCAATAAATAAATCTTAAAAAAAAAAAAAAAAAGCATATTCAGCGATTGAGCAAAAGCAGCATAAAAAATATACTCCAATAGATGCCTTTGTTGGTGGTGATGAGGTCTTCCATGTTCAATCTGTGTACTGTGGTCCATGACGAGTAGATAAATGGACGGCACAGACAGAGCCACTTTACAACAATGTACCCGCGGTTATCAAACACCTGAGCCATCATCGGGAGACCCCACTGTTTCACAGTATAAAAACATCATGTCTGTTACAGGGGCCTCCCTGGTGGCGCAGGGGTTACTCAGCGCTATCACACTATGGCCAGGCCCTGCAGCACGAGTTCAATCTCTGGCCAGGGAGCTGACCTGCAGGGTGCAGCAGACCTCTCCTGTCTCCCCGCTGCTCCTCTCAACACTGTATTTCAATAGATCTGCCTGTTCTGCTCCCCACTCTGTCTCACCACCAGCACCTCTGGCAACACCCCAGTTCTCGTATGCATAAATAAAATAAAATAAATCTTTCAAAAAACAAATTCTACATCTCGAGGGCCTCCCTGGTGGTGCAAGCAGTTGAGCGCAGCGCTGTGAAGCTGTCCACAGCCTCTGCAGTGCCAGTTTGATTCCCGCCGGCCTTGGAGCAACCCATATGGCACGGCATACCTCTCCTGTCTCGCCCGCTGCTCCCCTCAGCAGCGTATTTGGTCAGTCTACCTGTTCTGTTCCCCGCTCTGTCTCTGGTGAATCCTCTCACCCTCCCGCACATCTGGCCTGTACCCCAGCTCTTATATAAATAAAATAAACCTTAAAAAACAAAACAAAACAAAAAACAAATTCTACATCTTGAGGGTCCTCAAACTAATATTTTAACAGACTCCTTCAAATGTCAGAAAGCAGAGACAAGCAGGACAGAGCTTCCACATCATGTGGGCTGACTGGCAGGGGGTAGGCTGAGGCCAGGGGTAGTCTGTGTAAATGAGATACTCCCTCACACTCACGTCTAAACAGTTTACGAACAACAATGAAATCCAGTATTTGCTGAGTACTACATGACACTGCCTGTGCTAAGAGGTTTAAGACTCATTACAAGCCTATATGATTCCTACAGAAGCACACAGCTGAAGGTAGTATCACACCTTTCACGTCTGGTTTACAATAACTTCTGGTAGTGTTGGAACTGAGCCATTTTTGGAGACTGACATCAGAAAGAGAATTACATCAGGAGGACCACAGCAGAAAGCGGGCTGGATTTCATGTTTGTTAGGAAACCATTTTTCCTTAGAAAACTGTTCATCTGTCAGGCTAAAACAGCAATTTGTCAGAAGCTATGCCTTCCCCCGCTTTGCAACCAATGTTGAG